CGCTGCTTCCTCGCCGGCCGCCATGTTGGATTCCATCAACTTTTTGTTAATTTTGTTGCATATTTATGCCTAGTCATTCCCCACAACATAGCATTTTGAAACAAACCTCAGATATCATAACATTGTGTCCAAAATCATTTCCCTAGGTAATATTCTTTTAAGCATTCTTGCAAAAAATAAGAATGGCATAGAAATGTTAAATGTAAAGTATTCAACAAGTTAATGTGCAATTTAGGTATTTGCAATTTCTGTTGAGAAGATTTAGAAATGCTAAACCCAGTCAAACCAACCATTTGGCAGAATCATGGTGGTCACCTGGAATGGCATTCATTGTTTTTGAGATGGCTATTGGTAGGTCCAATAAAAGAGCAATATGTCCAAAGGATTTCTTTCTTGAAGAAGGAAATAGGTGTTATGATTATAAATTTCCTCTTTCTTTCTTTCTTTCTTTCTTTCTTTCTTTCTTTCTTTCTTTCTTTCTTTTTTTTTTTGTGACTACCTCTGATGGTTGGTGAAATGAGCCCAAATAGCCAAGAACTTTGTAGTCTGGATAAGTTAGTCACTTATACTGATCTCTAAAATTAAACTTTACAATTTAAAAAGAGGGTATGGGGGCTGGGGCTGTAGCTCAATGGCAGAATGCTTGCCTAGTACATGTGAGGCACTGGGTTCAATCCTTAGAACTACATAAAAAGTAAACAAAATAATGGCATTCTGTCCATCTACAACTGCAAAAAATAATAATAGTAATAATAAATAAAAAAAAACACAGTGGGTATGATGTGTCCTGTATCTATTAACAAAACTCTGGTGAATTATGACTTGGAACATGAAAGTGCTTTGAAAATCATTCCAAGTTACATGTTCTCTTCTAGCACAGGCTTTGTTCTTTGGCATTACCAATGCTTAGGACCTCATTTCCCACTTACCCATTCCCATACTAGGGATTGAACCCAGGGGCACTTTACCAGTGAGCTACATCCTCTAACCTTTTTACTTTTTTTTTTTTTTTTTGGGTGCGAGTCTCACTAAGTTTCCCAGGTTGGCCCTGAACTTGCAATACTCCTACCTCAGCCTTCTGAGTAGCTGGGATCACAAGTGTGTGCCACTAYATCCAGCGATGTTGAGGATTCTAAGTGGTATCAGAGAATGTAAAGCTTCAGAAAGTAACTATCTAGAATTTTTTTAGAATTAAATTTACAAATTTAAAATCCCAAAGTTTTTTTAGAAATAAATTTATGAATTTGTAACTGTTTCTCTCTCTTTCCTATCTTTTATTTAGACGTTTGTTTTTTTCTCCAAGTTGAGATCCATTTTCACTCACCCGTTTTTAAATTTATTTATTTTTTTCTCTTAGTAATATCTTTGGGAATAGTGACGTGATCAGGCTCACTAAAAAAATAATGTCTGTCTTTGAAAGATTACTTGGTGATCATCCTTTTTTCTTTTCTTTTTCAGCCTTGCCTCCCCGATTGAAAGAGATGAAAAGCCAGGAGTCAGTTGCAGGCTCCAAGTTAGTGCTTCGTTGTGAAACCAGTTCAGAATACTCCTCTCTAAAGTTCAAATGGTTCAAGAATGGGAATGAGTTAAACCGAAAAAACAAACCACAAAACATCAAGATACAAAAAAAGCCAGGGTGAGTATAATACAAATATCAGAGTCTGCATCTAGTAATAGGATGATTAAAAAAGAAACTTAGACTCTCATAAATGCATTTAATATCAAAAGCCATGACATACAATACRTGAAGATTTTTCTTTATATAGTGACCAGAAATTGTGATACCACATGGAAAAGAGTTTGGAGTTTCTGAGTTTTACAACTTTGAATGAAGAAAGGAAAAGATGAATGGAAAAAGAACTATAGGAAGTGGGGGGTGAATAAAAAGTAAGAAAGAAGCTTCTGCTAGGCAGCTGCTGTAATAGTTACAAATCTAAAATCTAATTTCTTTCAAATGAGACAAATGCTCTTTAGAGTAACAGTGCCTTACACAATAAAATCCCAACTTCATTATAAAGTTCAACGAGTACCTGGATTTAGGGAGAGCATTGGGATGTAATCTGTTGAATTTGAACTGTTTTCAAGGAAGGAGTTAATACATGAAGTTGTATCTGGTTAGAATCTTTAATCAACAATCCTGTTAAACGACATGAAAATTATAGTGCTTTTCTTGGGCAGCAAGAATCTTGCATTTTCCTGCGTTTTTGAGGACATTCATAATTTGGAAGAGCTCAGTCAGATTCCTGTGAAAACTTGATATTCTGTATCTGCTCCAAAATGATGGTCTTTTTTAAAAAAATATGTATTTATTTTTTATAGTGGGCATTGAACTCAGGGGTGCTTAACCACTGAGCAACATCCCCAGCCCTTTTTTTATATTTTATTTAGAGACAGGGTCTTGCTAAGTTGCTGAGGCCTCCTAGTTGCTCAGCCTTCTAGAGCTGCTAGGATTAAAGGTGTGCATAACCGTGCCTGACTCCTTTATTATCCCTGCATTCTTCATTTTAATTTATTGCCTTATTTAAGAATTATTTCCTATAGAATCAAACTATGTTTTGAAATTAGGGGAGAGGTAAGTATGTTGGAATTTTTGCTCTTAAACAGTTCTTTAATCAGGATGACCCATCAGAGAAAAAGAAAAGAAAAAACTATGATCACCAAGTAATCTTTCAAAGAGAAACATTAATTTTTGTGAGCCTGATCACATCACTATTCCCAAATGGTTCCAAGTGCAGAGGTGTTTTCTTCACACCCTCAGAGGGCTCCAGTGAAACACTAGGTGTGATAACAGAAGTAACAGTAGAAGGGTCTCTTCCTATCCTTTGATTTTATAGGATGTCTATCAAAAAGCTGTCACACATTTATGAGCAAGTGAGAACAAAGTGATTGTAATATGAATTTATTTGAATCTTATCAAAGAGTTTAAGTGCTCTGATAACCGTTATTAGGGATTTTTCCTAATTCCAATGGTTTAATTATCTACATTGCTTACTCTTGTTATTAGTCATGTCAGCAGGATCTATTGATTTGAAAGTATAACAGAGTGACAGTAAGGGTGGGTATCACTTTCTGCAGCAGTTGGTACTTCAGAGACACAAAATATAATTCTTTGAGGAGAGATGGTGCTTTTTTACATAATCTTACTTTTAAACAACATTTAAAGATGCAGCAGTTGTACAATTTGCCCATGATGACTCTAATTTTGCAGATTAGGGAATTGCTTCAAATCACACAACTAACAGACACCTCAATTAGAGCGTGCATCTACTTCTTGAATTCCTTAGTGCCACCTTCATTGTTTAAAATTGGAGACTGTCCTTGTTTAATAATATGTGTATGTAAGAAGAATAGATAGAGTGAATGAATTGAAAAGATATGGTTGATTCTTAATGGAAAATGTTCACAAGACAAAAACATACTTCTGGATACAGGGTTAAATAGATTTTGGTATTTGGTTTTTCATCAGTTAGATTAGTAAGAAAAGAAGTTTTCTATACATGAATGGTAATATCTCATTTATTGCCCTGAGATTGTGGAGTGATATCAGTAATATTTAATTGTTCATGAAAGACTTTATGCCAGGGATGTAGAGAAATTGAAGAGGTATAGAGCATTATTGCAATGGCTAGGCAGACATAAAACTGTAGAGAGATTTTTCTAGTTCAGTCCTATATTAAACAGGAATTCCAGATCCTGTGCAGGAACACAGTGTTAGAGCTGGGGAGGAGGAAGGGAGAAGAGGTTGAGTTGGCTGAAGGAGTAGAAGCAAGCTTCTGAAGACTGAAAATATTCCATGTGATGACTTTGGGATAGAAGCAAATGAAGTTGGGTAAACAATGTAAAAAAGAAAAAAGAGAGAGAGAGATAAAGAAAAAGTGAACTGACATGAATGTGCTTTTGAAAGGATATGTGGATACTTAAAGAGGTTGTTTGTTACATGGCTTGGATAACATAAAAGAATCACTAATATTCAGGAAAGCATTTTTTATTGACTTTATAGATTCAGACAGCTACGATGACTGTCTTCATATCAACAAAAATCCCATGATACCAAAAAGGACAAAATTTAGAAATTATTTCTTTAAGAATAATAGCTTTGCTAGAAAGTATTAAATGGAGAAAATTTATTCAAGATATGTGACTGTAAATTACTTTTGGCAAAACATTAAACGTATTGGATCTAAAAATAAGGCATATTTTGTGTAAAGTGGGCAGCTGGTTGGTAAATGATAAGCTTATCAATTTTCAGAATTAAGTTTTTTTTCTAGAGTTCTCTCTTAGTTAAAAAAATAGTGTTGTCTTTCTTTGTCAAGTAAAAGGATCCAACTGAATTATAGTGCTTTTCTTGGGCAGCAAGAATCTTGTGTTTTCCTGCATTTAATTAATTTTTGYAAGTTCTCTATTACTTCAATTTATCCCATAAATATAAGTAGAATAAATACTATTATGATTATAATGATTTTTAAAAATAATTAATATCCCAAGAATGAAGGAAGTTAGTTTCTTCCTATAGATTATAATGGTAATGAATAGTTTAACTTAATATGAAATATGTACAACTCTCAGGCTCATGCCATTTCATAACGACTTATGATTTTATCATATAAAATTAGAATACCGGACTTGGTGCACACTCAGGCTTAGGGTAATGGATTACTCAGCTTTTTGTTACTGTGACCAAAATACCTGACAAGAAAATGAAATATGATATGTCAAGAGCTTTGTAATGTTTTGAACAACTAATAATAATAATAAWAAAAAAGAAAATTTAAAGGAGGGAAACAGTTTCAGGGGTTTGTTTCATGGATAGTCAACTCCATTGCTTTGGGCCCAAGATGAGGTAGAACATCATGAAAAAAAAAAAAGATATGGGGGAGAAAAGCTGCTCAGCTCATTACAGCAGAGATAGAGAGCTCTTGGGGATCCAGGGACAAGATATATAATTTCCAAAGGCAGGCTTCCAGTGAACCACTTCCTCCAGCCATGCCCTACCTACAGTTAACAGCCAAGAGTCCATTCAAAGCATTAATCAATTAAATGGATTAATCCATTGATGGTATTACAGCTCTCATAATCTAATAATTTTACATCTGAACATTCCCGCATCATTCCAAGCTTTTATGGGGTGAAGGGATACCGCATATCCAGACCATAGCAGCTAATATCTTAATAAAAATTATTATTTTTCAGGTTCATTTTATGTCAATATGTTTTGGTCACTAAGATTCAAGCTGTTAATATTTTGCAGTGGGTTAGTTAGTTACTTGATTTAAACTTTATCTTAGGCTGTGATCAACTGAGGAGAGGTGAATTTTACTTTGAAGTTTTAGGGTTTCTCTGGGATTCTCTTCATTTAAATGAAACATTGATTCTCCCTAGTGTAGGTCTCCCTCTTGATTTTTATAATCTAGATCACCCATAGCTAGAATTTTCTTTTAATTTCTTAGTGCTATGAAAATATTTCACATCAATATGCAATTTTATTATTGTATAAAATCTCATTCCTCTTTGTACCCCTGTTYCTGATAATAAACTACATTCCTACATGTTCTTCCTATGATTTTTGAATTCACAGTTGAGCCTTTGTTTGTTTTATTTGGCTAAGCAATGTGTGGGACCAATTAAAAGAAATTGGAAACTGCCTTGTGTTATGTGTCTGCTGATCCCTTTGTTCTTGTTTTCCTTGCTTGGTGAATGATTTTGATCATTTTTGAAAAATGGTTGAAGAGCTTTGGAGCTGTATTTAAATATCTCTTCTATATTTGCCTTCTGAAAGGCTGAATTCTTAAGTTTGCGTGTTTCATACATTCTTGAATGTCCTTAATTTTCTCTCAGCTCTTTATTTCAGCTCTTACATATTTTAATCTTGCTTAAAATTGGCTCTAATTAATTTGCTCAATTAAAAAAAAATATTGGGAAAATTGAGTTATTTCTGCTGTCAATGGTTGCAGTTATTGTTTTTGGTTCTATATGGATAAAGATTGTACACATTTCCTGTTCTTATTAGCTGAGCAGCTCTGGCAGTCCACTTGAACTTTATCTGTAAGGTAGTCTCTTATGTACTCAGTGACCATTTATGTGAGGCATTTGGTACACTGCCTGATTCTGTTGCCTAAGAAGTGCCTATTCCCCTTCTGTGTCCTTGGGATTTAACTGATGGACAGTATCTGAAGGAGTATTGAACATACAGACACATGCAAAGTGTGTATAACTCCTCCACCATCAGAAGACTGGAATTGTACAAACCGAGAACCTGCTTCCTATGTGTGTTTAAGTTGCCTTTCCCTTTAAATTATGGGGGAAGAATCAAGCTAAATTAGAAAAAYGGGATAAAATTGGGAGTTCATAACCCACCTGAATCAAACTGTGAAATATGATGTATTAAGAACTATGTAATGTTTTGAACGACCAACAATAAATAATAAATAAATAAAATAAAATAAAATAAAAAACAACAAAAAAAGAAAAACATGATAATAGCTATTGGAACCTTGAATTGATCACTTATTATAAAAATGCAAATATTTCAGGAGTGTAGAATTTTTATTATTGTACTTGACACTTATTTGGAGCTTACATAATTGCAAGCATTACTTTAAACATTTTACATTAAATTATTAACTCATTGAATACTTTCAGAGTTTGGAAACTCATTGACACACAAACTTTTAGACCCTAGAAAACTCATAAATGAAAGTGCAAAAAGTTACCTTTATGTTTGAAGGGATTGCAATTATTTTTCCAAATTAACCTTCCATGAACAATATGTGGCAGCCTATTGAAGAAATATAAGGTGGTTGTATTCGTACTTTTGAAAGCCTTAGAACTTGGTGCAACTTACAATTTTCAAGAGAAGTTTGGTAATTTCTACTTTCTTATGGCATTATGTCCCTACTATAGGATATGAGTATTGAAGAATCATAGTTAAAATGAATCCTTACAGTTCATAGGGATTGTAATGTTCATCTAGATCATTGATTTTCCATTTGTGTCCTTGGAGAATTCTAAATTTCTATTGAATTGCAAAAAGGATTGCCATCACTTTTACCTGAATACTTTTTTTCTATAATGTTCTTGAATATGAGACTTTGATTTAAGTTTTCATTTTAAGCAGGATTTTGTTGCAAAAATAGTTGAAACCACTGATCTAATTTAATCTTTCTCTGCATAGAGATATTCTTGTCAGAGTATGCTTGGCCGGTGGCTCTCCAGACTTGAATCTTTCCAACAAGAAAACCTAACTCTTTGACAAGATACCCTATATATTTCTCACTGCTCAAAAAGTTCTTCCTTATAATCTCACCCCAAACATGCCTTCTTTTTCCTGTAAGGTTTAGTTCTACCTTAGGTCCTTTTTCTGTAAGACTTATCAACCCCAAGTGATTGCTTTTTCTGGATGACAGTCATGAAATATATTTAGCTACTCATGCTTCATTCATAATTGCTTGCCAATGGAACCTTGTTTCTTTAATAGAATCCTCTCTCTGGTTAAGATCTCTAGTCCCTATTGAAGTCTGATCAGTCATTTAAAGTCCTGCATTTAGTGATATTTCTCAATAAATGTTACTCTAAAAAAATAGTTCAGTATTCTAGAAGTGATCCAGCCAGTGGTCAGTGTATTGGCCTTGAATCAAATTTTATTTATGCTCTGGTTTAATATTAATGTGGTTCACGAGTGCATAAGTTTCTTTTTTTCTTCCTCTTTCTTATTTGAAAACTATTTTTTTTAAATAAATGACTTACTGTTAAATATATTGCTACTTGAAAAAAAATTTTGCTCTGTATATTGTAGCCAGTTCATCTCTTTCCCCTTTCATATCTGTACCACTTCTACCCACTGCTTTCTTTTTTCTGGTACCAGCGATGCTTAACCTCTGAGCAACATTCCCAGCTATTTTTTATTTTTACTTTTTATTAGAGATAGGGTCTCACTGAGTTGCTTAGGGCCTCTCTAAGTTGCTGAGGCTGGGTTTGAACTCAAAATCCTCCTACCTTAGCCTTCTGAGTCACTGGGATTACAGACATGGGCCACCATGCCTGGATCACTGATTTTCGAATCTGAATGTATCTGTTTTGCGATTAAATTGAATCTTGACATTCTGCCCTAGAACTCCTGAAAAGATTCTCTACCGAAATGATTCCATGGCTACCTGTGATGCTGGCTTTAAAAATTCACATTACACATTTGCAAAAAAACTACAGAGAAGTACTGTTTTTTTTTTAAAGCCCCTTTAGCTTTCTTTAATGCAGTATCTATTTGAGCAGAAAAAAAAAGTCTTTTTTCTTTTTTTCTTGTTCCCTTTCTTTCAAGAATAGCATTTGATTATATTACTTGGGGTGGTATTCCAGGAAGCACTGCCCAGGCCTATTAGGAGAATTTTTATTTTAGAGCTATCTTTTTAAGCTTATGTTAACTATAAATTTGATTACCATGATCCTTTAGTTTAATCTAGTTCAATAGTTAAATTGCCAGGGTCAAGAAAAAGGTTTTTACATACAAATTTAAGATTGTTCTTAGATTTATATAAATGGAAAGAAGGGCTGTTCTTGGTTTTTGTGGATTCTTTGGATGCTTTTGTAATAATCCTATCTCAGAATTTTGGGACTTAACAAGAAAAGTGACCATCTTCTTATTTTAGTAATTTACTCTTTCTCTGGTGTTGAAGATTAGGGTGTTATTTCTCACTCTAATAGTCTTCTGGCTTTATCTATTATTGTTAATGGTTTTAAACATTTAGCTCTTTTTTCCTCTTTATCTTTCAAAGAACCCTGTCATGAAGGAAAATTGTCTTGAAGGGGCCAAGTGTATGAAAAACTGATAATCCATTAAAAAACTTTATATTTGAATACTCTAAAACCAGGCTTGGAAGATTCAGAACCTCTCACAGTGATATACTAATATGCTGTATTTTGAGTATTACATTTTTATTGTCAGGACACTTGCCATAAAAACGGCCTATTTTGGTTGAGAGGGATATTCTTTAGGGAAACTTTACTATTTGTAACCTCTCTGATTAATGTGTGAATATTCTTAAATGGCCATTGGTGGTTCCATTACATAAACAAGGGTGCTATTGTATTAGATCCACTTTTTTGCCAGCTTTTTTTCTGACGACTATTCTTTCTGAAAATATTAACATTGTGTTAATATTAAACATTATTATTAACATTAAAGGTATTTTATGTGAGTGAAAAGGATTCCACGTTCAAATAAGTTGGGAGAAATGAATGTATCCTGTTTGTAGACTGTCAGATATACAATATAATAATATACTAACACACATTAGCATATTAAAGGCTCTAAGAAACCCTATAGAATTGAGAAAAAGGAAAAAAGCTTGTTTTTCTTTAATATTTTTCCAATTTTTTTTGAGTATAGAACTGTTTGTTTTGTTTATTTATTTATTTATCCTCAAATTTGCGTATTGACTTCCTTGTGAATCATGACTGGCGAGTATAGTTTTTCAGTCAACATGTTGGTTCAATCCATTGCTGTCATTGGTCTGGACCACTAAACTGTCTCAGCCTCGTAACATTGCATTTCCTCTTCCTGTCACCTACATGAGGAATTTTAGGTCCTGCAGGGTGCATAAGTGGGAATAGCCAAATATTTTCTTCCTTTATTCACATATTCATCCAATAATGTTTGAGGACATCCCAAAGACAAAGCAAGGATGTATGCTCTGAGAATACCAATACATTTAAGTTACCACTCCCCCCTCTGACTTTTATGTAGTAGGTGTATAGATAAGACCTACTGAAAGAACTGTTAATTATTATTATTATTATTATTATTATTATTAAAGACTATAAGAGAGGTGCTTAGGCTGTCAGAATCTAGAGGGGAGTAGTTCCAGATGCATAATCATGAAAGGCTTGATGACAGTTGGTACTGGGGATAGTCCTTCTAGGTCAACTCAGAGTTTGATGGTAAAAATGCAGGGCCCCCATTTCAGGAGGAAGAAAGGACCCAACCCAAAGCACCGAGATGGAAGACCGTAAGGCTTACATGTGGATCTCTGGGCAATTCAATTTGAGAAGCTGGAGAAGAGGAGAAATTAAATTTGGAGTAATTGAGTATACCTGGTTAATAATTAACTGTGTGTCTACAAGACCAGAAAAAAATTACTAAACAATTATCAGAGTTAAAAAATCAACCAGAAAGATTGCTGTCTTTCCTTTCTCCCTCCTTTTCTCCCTATGGTCTTCCTTTCAACATCCCAGGAAGTTACAGTTACCTGGCCAGAGCCTAGAAAGATGCTTGAGATGCTTTGAAAAGGCTTTTGTAAACTCTGAGCCAATCCTAGTAGTTATGAATTTTTATGTGCTTAAATTGCAGTCTATGTGCAACAGTAAAACAGACAAATGGAAATCACAGTGCTGCCCATGTTCAAAATGGTGAATATTGATTTAATATTCAGACTTTTATAAAAGAATGTGCTATTGTTGTATGAATATTTATTCCAGCATTAAGAAACATTCATGTGGTACTATGCTTCTAGCAATGATAATCTTAAGGAAAGACAGATTCCCTTTCTTTTGGAAATGAGAAATCCTCTTCATTCAAAATTAACATTATTCCTGATGTTACTCTACTTTGAAGCACAGAGCATTTTTACCTATTCTAGTGTTCCTTAAATGTCTGACCTTACCAGACTTGTAAGAAATGATTTTACACTTTTCTCTCTTCCCTTGTGGCTGGTGACATTTAGATGCAGGAAGGAATGAAAATTTATCAATTGAACTCTAACATCTAAGGCATAATGTGGTAGTAGTAGAGGTAGAGGAATAAAAATAAAAATTAGAAAGACTTCCTTTAAAATACTGGTCCATATGATAAATAAGATTATATCCATGGTATAACTTTAATGTGATTTATCTCACTTTCACTCTGGGTCAATCATGCAATCAAGCTGACATAAGTTGTGTTTTAACATGATATGTGTAGGGTGGGAAGGAGGAATTTGTAATATCTGAAACTACAGAGATATATATTTTAGTATTTACTAGATTTCTGTGCTGTATACTTACACCACTTTGGTCCTGATCTTGTAGGAAGTCAGAACTTCGAATTAACAAAGCATCACTGGCTGATTCTGGAGAATATATGTGCAAAGTGATCAGCAAATTAGGAAATGACAGTGCCTCTGCCAATATCACCATTATTGACTCAAATGGTAAGAGATACCTGCTGTATTTTGTCTCCCAATGTGTAAGAGGAATAATCAAGATATGTGGTAAGACTTATGGTTAAGTGGTGGGTTAAATCTCATTGTGAACAAAGAGAAAAATTGGAAAGAAAATCAACATTCAGGCATCTTGTGGCTTCCTTCCCAAAGCTCCTCACTTCATGAAATGATATGGACTTACATAGATTTTTTAAAGGTTTTGAATAGGTTATGAATTGTGGAGAGACTTATGTGGTTAAGAGAAGGAGATTGTACTGTCCCATTTAAGCTGTTTAGAAAGGGCAGTCCAGTCTTTGGATCTATCAGACACATAAATACACTCAGAAAGAAGATATGTGTATTATATATGTATACGTAGATATATATGACATGCCTATATTGTCTGTATAACTCTGTGTATCTACATGTTTACATGTATGTATACACACATATACATACACAGTCCTGGCAATTTTTATGTTCCTTTATATATTTTCTTAAGTGATTACTTTTGGCTCTAGGTAGTATCAAGTTAAGCAGCAAGTTAGGCCTATTAATTTTTTAGGGCCTATTAATTTTGAAAGTAGGAAAATCTTAGAGGTAGTGAATTTCCTACTATGTACAGGCTTCTCATTCAACTTTCTTCAAAACAGCGCCAGGGGATATTTGTTAAAGAAATGAAAGACTTAGTGGTAGAAAGATCCACCTGCCCTCTGACAACTTCTCTGAGTTGTATAGGAAAGTAAAAGATCCATAGCTAGTGTCTCTCTGTTTCATTAAACCCCCAATACTCCACAATTCAATAGAGATATCTGTAGGAGCTATTGGTGACCTAGAAATGCTTATTTAAATCTCTTGGAATAATCAAATGTTATTTTTTAATGATGGCAGTTAATGATTGCCCTTATAAGTTCTTGTCAACTTTATAAAGCCAAGCCTAATTGCATTACTTCTTGGTAGAAGATGGGGGGGAAATGTTCTTTGCAAGGACATGGTCTCTTAAAGTGATAAGGTAAAAAAAAAAACCAGGTCAACACAGGAAAAGTAAATAACTTCTGGTTAACTCCATAGGGTCCTGATGTAGTTTCTGTCACTTCATCCATTCGTGATGTAATAGGACAGGGAGAAGGGAGTGAGATAAAAATATGGAACAGGGTTGGGAAAATCCAGGTTAATGCCTTGTTCTCTGTGGACTTCCCAATGAACTGTTCTGTAGCAGTGTAATCAAAGTTTGTTATTTTCATTGTAAATGTACTCCCTGCACAGAGAGTAAAGAACCATGAAATGAATCCATTACTATTTTTAGGAGTAGTGCTTATGGTAGTTAAATTGTAACAGCCATTTAAACTTTATATGAACATATATAAAATTGTTTTACTTTTTTAACTAATACATAGCATTTTGCTAGTATTAATTTACCCCACGTGGATTTTATATGATGCTATATGAAACTAATTTAAAAATCAATTCCAGTGCATTATTCTTTTTGGGAGAGGGTTCCAGGGATTGAACTCAGGAGTACTTGACCACTGAGCCACATCCCCAGCCCTATGTTGTATTTTTATATAGTGATAGGGTCTAACTAAGTTGCTTAGCACCTCCCTTTTGCTGAGGCTGTCTTTGAACTCTCGATCCTCCTGCCTCAGCCTCCTGAACCACTGGGATCACAGGCATGCACCACTGTGCCCAGCCAGTGCATCATTCTTTACTTCTCATATGCCATGTTTTGAAGCTTGTCCTCAGTTTGATACTTGCTTGATTCAGTAATAAATGCTATTGGATTATTATTTTTGACCTTTGGATTAGATTTGTGTAACTATGCAGTTCCAGAAAATAAAATAAAACTATAGTTAGTATCATAGTCTCACTAAGTATTTACGTAGTGATTATTTCATGGTTTCTGGTTTAAAGGATTAAGCAATGAATTATTTACCAGTATATTATTCCTGGCCAAAGCCTGGAGGGTTTTTTAAAATTATTTTTTGTGTACTAAATGTTTGGTAATATGACTTTTACTATTCTCACGTAGCACAGACATCCAGTTCATTTTTGTATATTAACTCTTTCAGGCCTTGGTTTAGTGCTCAAACTTGAATATGTAATTTCCACAAATTATAATAGATAAATGAAAGAAGTGGTTTTTTTAATTTAAAATTTTTTTTTGAAAGAAGTGTTTTTGATAATGAATCTTTTTTTATAACCTGACAAGAATTAAGAGAAATTCATAAAATTTGTAAGCAAATTATTTTCAGACAAACAACTAAAGGTCTTTCAGGAACATTTTCTATTGATTTTCAAACATCTGAATGAGAGGAGGGAAGGATCTTGATGACAGTGCACGGTGGTCTTATGGGCATGTGAGGAATAGATCATCCTTATCCAACCCTCTCATTGTATTTAAAAAGACATGGGAGATTTAGAATAGAAAACAGAATTGTTTAGAATCACAAATATATTTRATAACAAAATGAGACACGAACCCAGGTTTCTTCAATTCCTTGTATACTGAAGTTCACTCTATATCTGAATGTATATGTGCAAATATTTAAGCAGATTCTTTTACTTGTGAAGAACAGAACTGAAGAAACGGGGTGAGTCAAAGGAAATAGAGAGATTCTCTGGGGAAGAAGTGGAACTTCATACAAACTGGAACTCAGTGAGATGGAATTGTACCTGTGGCATCTCTGAGAGCCTCTACCTTAAAAGTATCTGAGATTTCCCATGACTTATAACTGCTCCTGATTTCAGTGYGCTTTCTAAAAATTCAAAACTTTGACCTGCTGATGATCCCACATGGCCATATTCTCCTCGGCTCTATTTAAGGCTTTCTTTAACTCCTACTGTATGATGGCTTTCTGGGCTCCCCAATCAAATTCTCCTTAACAAGGATCTGATTATCAGGGTTGATCATATTTTACTTTACCAGAAGACTGAGAGAACTTGCAAATCATTTCCCCCTGGTTAGATGTCTACTTCTACTCACCACGGAAGGGAGAAGACAGAAATGTGGCTGCTCAGAAATGCCTTACCTTCAGAGCATGGGTGGAGAAGCAGGCTGCCCAACACGATCTAGGGCTTAACAGGCTCCAAGATTGATGAGGACTGGTTATTGTATGTGTGGGTAGATACCCTGTACCCCAGGGGCTTAGGTATCRTGTAACTGTAATTGGAAGATTTAAGTACCAGGATCCTACATCCTCCTCCACTGCTATCTGTGATTTTACTAGATTCAATTCATGGCTGATTATTAAAGGACTCTCAGTTGGGTTTTGAGTCACTGGGGCTCAGATGCACAACTTTTGTGTCAGCATATCCCCATATCTCTAGGACTCTGAGAAAAATTTGAAGAGAGAAATATAATTTTACTTTGTGTTCTGTACTCACCTTTAACATATTTCTTCCAAGAGTACATGGCTATGATTAGAYGATTTCTATACAGGTCGCTTGGATAAATGATCCTGGTATGTTGCTRCACTCTGATAATTATGCTCATACCTTCATAGACAAAGGATTGCTTTTAWTTTACTTAAATTTTCACATAGTACCTTTTTTAGACTAAAATATTTCAAATTACTTTTGATGCATGATTCTAAGAGAGATGGGTGGGGTGTGGGGAGRTATTCATAAGAAGATCTTTGCTTTCTTCCCCAAAGAGTAAGCTATTTGGCACTSTGTTTAATCCAAGTAAGACAACCACAATAGTTATTAGAATAAAATTAGTTGAGATCATAAATATTTTCTGCACTGAAAGTTATTGTTTAGATCTACTTAGATTAACAAATGGGTGTAAATGAAATGATAAAAAATTTAAGAAAGTCCATGTAAATTTTTATGCACTTGAGTTACAGAGACCACTATTTTCAAGCATTGAGAAAAGTACACAGAGTCAATCATTTTCCTAAGAAACAATTTAGAAATTTATGTTTTCTACCTTTTTCCATGCCTTTTAACTTCCATTTGGAATTGGAAAACAGAATTTGCCATTGTAGACCTATAAACCTAAGCAAAATGCCAATTACTTTGAGGATTATTTAACATTGAATTTTTGTATAAAGAAGGATCTCATATGTAGCAGTCATTATCTGATGAATTACAAGTATATTCCTTTCATAAATTCATATTTGGCAACTGAGAATGCCACATAGAGTATTTCACAGCTCATATACTATATTTTCATTTTTATCTGTACTTTATCTAGCTTGGTCTTTCTATAGGAAACCTTCATTTAGCAATTAATTCTTAGCTAACAAGCTCTATGAAAACTCCTGGGTATTAGAATAGGGAAGAGAATAATAGACTTAACTGGTTTTCAAATTAATTAAGTAATGCTCTCTTTTCAAAGATTAACACAGGAGAATATACAACTACTCAATCATCTCTTATGTTTTCCTTTTTAATCAGGAGAAAAATAATTTTAGTGAGATTCAGGATCCCACAGGAGCAATTTGAGCTTCTGGCAATAAAATAGCTCTTTTACTTGAGAAGAATAGAAAAACATTATTTTTATAAAATTTGATTAAATTATCGATTGGTGCCTTACAGATTTGGTTCATGCAGGTAATAGGTTTAGCCCCCTCAATTGACAGTAATTTTAGAAATGCCATGCTATTAGTGAACAATCTAAGTTGTGCTGAAAAACACATAATATGTTTTATAATGTGTATAGCAGTCTCCACATGTGTTATATCATTTGGGATTTCTGTGAAACTAATAAGCAAGTGCAATGTGAATAGAATAGGGTAGATGGTGTATAGTATCCATCATGTTTCTATACTATTATTAATTTTGAAAGTTCTCAGTTACTTTAGAGTAAACATTCATTATAAGCAAGAATTCAAATGCTCAAAAGATATGCTTGAAGTCATATTTACTAGTACTAATAAATAAATGTGCCTACTTTGTTAATCTTTAAAAAGAGTCACTATAACAAATATTTGTATGAATAATTGGTTTATAATTTTAGAAAACAAGGAGACACACAATTGAATGTTGAAACAAACACAAACACATCATGTATGTTTGCATACGTATGTGTGTGTGTTGGTAAATAGTTATGTTTAGTATATTATGCTTATGGTGAAATCTCAGACAATTCATGCATTTATAATAATTAAAAAATTCCTTCCCAGACACTGCAACAGTTCCTTGAAAACAGATACACTTTTTTTAAAAAATTAAAATATTACAAATACACTAATGTTCCTTGTGTTTCCTAGTCTACTTGGCATAAGTTGCTCAGTATTATTCAGTTCCTGATGATCCTGAATCCTCATTAATTTACTCTAATGAAGGGGGTGTCCTTTAGTAAATTAACAAATTTAATATACCAAATTACTATTGGAAAGCATATTGCTTAAATAATTATCAGGGAAATTTCAAGACTTAAAATTTTTTAGAAGTCCATAAATATAGTATGAAATTATTTTCAAATTTATATTATAAATTATTTATTATAATTATTTTAAAATTATAACAGAAGATGGTTTTATAAATTTATGAATTTTGCCCATAGCACACACAAAGTGCTTGCTCAGTGGTTTTAATAAAAAGATTAAGGATTCTTATTGGCAAATTTCTTTTTCAAATGAAGACTTTCATTTAGAAGTACATGTTAATTTCTAAGCTGTATTCCCCCTAAGATAAATTTAGAAAGTTTTCATTTGAGACCATCATCACTAAAGGTATTTTTGAGGTCTCTGGGATAAATGYCTAATTTTAGGAAGGGAGGTTATTTTAAGTTGTCTCTGTGTACATGCATCATTATAGTAGCCTCCTGTTCTGGTATTTTTTATGCAGCATTCAATTAAAAAAGGAAATGTATGGTTAACCTTTCCTCTACTCTGAGGTCTTTTTTTTTTTTTTTTGCCAGCAATAGAAAAACTTTTTTTTTCTTCTCCCTTGGAAGGTCACAGTGGACAACTAATTATTTTGTAAAAAATTAAAAAAATCAATTTGAGGGGAGTCTTGATATCTGAGTTAGAGCTTGGGATTTGGAGTTTGCCCGTCCCTTGTTGTGCATCTTGAGTYCCCTACATCAATCTGGTTGTCATGCCCTTGATGTAGTCTGAAGGGCAGAATGAGRAGGCTTTTCTCTTAATGGGGGCACGTTGTGAAACATGGAGCTTCTTCTAGGTATTCCTAAAGAAGGATATATACTGTGAAGCTTAAATAAAAGTTTCTTATTACATTTTCTCCAAGAAGAGCAATTTCATTCTCTACAGACCAACTCAAGAGAGATAGTTGTGGCTGCTTCAGAAACCAGTATCCATATTATCAGCTCAAAATATTCTCTTTAATGCCTATTACTTGAGAAAGTCCCAAGGATGTAGTACATACTTGCATATGAATTATTTTCACTTTGTACCATTTTTAGTGGATTTAAGAACTGATGAATACATCTTTGATATCTTGATGACAGTATTACTCTTTGTATGGTTTGTCCTCTTAATCCTTGATAAGGGAGGCCCATCCTTACTTAATTTTGCACCAGTAAGACACATTTGGTCTTACTAAAGGTACATTTCTGGTCTTATTCGTAATTAACTTGATATTTAAGCATCCCTTCTGAATCTCACGTGACTTTCTTTTTCCTTTCAATTCTGCAAAAACTTTTGTCCCTAGAGAATTTCATCTGTTGTAGAAATATTGACATTTACATTGATTTCTCTTTCTCACTAGAGAAGTCTAGTCCTAGAAACCCTAAATAGTCATATCCAGATTTAAAGATGATTATACTGACAATAAACTTATCTAACTCCAAAATTAAGAGTKCATTCATTCAGACCTAAACTGATAGCATGAATGACCTCCTTAGGATTTTCAGTCGGATCTAGTCATTTTTGTATAGTAGTAGTCCTTTTTAGAAGGACTGAACACAGAATTAGATGATGTAGCCACCTTTTGTCCCATCAYAAAAACATAAAGAAAACAAGTTCAATGTCTTGAACAAGACCACTACAAATCTCCGGATAATAGTGTGTCCTGAGTGTGCAGGTTCTTCCTTTAATTCTTTTAAGTGGGTGCTGCCTGCTTCCTCTATATCCTGCGCCAGGTAGTCTTAAAATTGTCAATTTTAACTAGAGCTCCCTGCTGGAACTTGACTTTTTTTCACCAATGCCAACTAGAAGCATTGCTTGTTCTTATTTTTGAACAAAAGTATAATTTTTCAAAAATCTATAACATAAAAATTCTGATAACACAGCTTTGACTTTCTTGGCTTCCCTGTTGCTCCTTTACTTTCTGAGAACTCACTGCTTCTTTGGCCTATGTTCTTCTTCACTGACCCCAGAAGGGTAGTGAATTCTTCCTGATTATTCTAGTATAGTCAGTCTCATGCTTTTGGCCCAAGAAGGAAGAATTGTTCATTTAGATTGTCTGTTTTTGCATTTCTCACTCTCTATAAGGCTGAAGTGAGGACTTTCTTGACCCCTTTGCAATACCTCCTTCCTTGATATTTATTTGCAGCATGAAGGCAGGCTGTGGTCCTGGCTCCCAGCCTCCTGATGGTACATCGTAATATCCTATCACCTTTTCTTTTTTGCAGAGATCATCACTGGCATGCCAGCCTCAACTGAAAGAACATATGTGTCTTCAGGTAAGGAGAATCAGCCTGGCAAACTTTACTAACAAGAATGTCAGACCTAACTGCTGGCTGTTCCTTCTACTAATCAGAACCCTTTCTGCATCCAAATTTCAGCTGTTTTCTCTTATTTTCTCTTATCAGCTGTTTTCTCAATGTCTTTCTCAGTCCCACTCTACAGTTTTGGATTTTACTTAAGAGATGATTCTTACTGTATGTCTGAACTTTGGACCTGTTTACACACAAGAGAAAAGAATCCATATCTAGATGATACTTAKTGACATCAGGATTACAAGCTCAGTTGGTGTAGCTTTATAGATGCTGCTCTGGGTTCCCTGTGCTCTTTCACTCATTAGAGTTATTTCTAGATAATGTGTCAGTATGTGACCTTTGCGATTCTAATTACCATTGTGATTCACAAAATCAACAAACGTTTAGCTTGATTCTTTGAAATTTTATTTTGTTGTTSTTCTTCCTTTTTTGCTTTTGGTCTGTGCATTTCTGTTTGTTTCTGATTTGCTTATAGTATTTGCTGATAGCAGTTACAGTCTGGGATGATGATAGCTACTTAGAACTCAACTCTGCTAATCCATTTACACTCATAATTCTTTCATCTCTCCACTAGTTATGAATTTATTCATTTTACTGCATATGTGCTTTTTTTWAAAAAARTAACTTTTCTCCATTCTCTGTAATTTTATAGTTAGTGGAATCTTAGAACATTTAAAAATTAATCTTTATTTCAAAGAAATTTTAGATAGCCAATATAGAAAACTCATTTCTAAGGTACAATGATAACTTATTTTGCATGGTACCTTTTACAAAGATTTTTATACCTCTGATAATCACAACAAAATCATAAAATGAGACATTATTTTTTCCTTATTATATAATGAGAGAACTGAAGCATTAGAAATGTTAAGTCATGTGTTTTAGGAAATAGAAGAGAAGGTACTTGGAGCTCAGTATTCTTTTCATTGCCCCCTATTGGGTAATTTGGCTTGGTTGACATGTTTCTTTATGGCCCCTACTTGTTAGAACTCCAGGCAGCCACATTATCCACCAGTCTTCTTCCATCTTACCTCCATCAGCATTTCCTCTTCCCTTCTAAGACAATGTTCAGAGTCATAAAAGCTGGCTCTGTCTGTATCCTAGATGGYTTTAGCCATATTTAGAGCATATTCATATCTCATTGCTAACATGTATGTGTGTGTGTGTTTTGTGGGCTAGGGTGATTCTGGAGTTTAAGGGATTGTATCTTTTCTGGGAGAAGGAAGCAAGGAAGGAAAGAAGGAGAAAGGAAGGGTTGGAGAGAGATAAGGGAAAAAGTGATGAAACTATGTGAATTTCTTCACCTCTCATTTAGGCATTTCTCTAATGTAAGGATTTTATTATCTATCTCCAGTGATGCTGTTAGGTACCTGAGCTTTTAAAATAAATGGTGCTTAACTTGAGAATTTAGATTGACTTTATTATTTCCTGCTATGTGAGTTGAATAAAACTTTTCAGTCTGTAAATTTCAATCCTTCTTTGATACTAAGTTTTTCTGATTTCCTACTAACGAAAACCCTTTGATCCCATGTTTTTCTTCCTGCATGATTTATGTTTTATGCTTCGTCTATACTTACACACTGGTTTTCCTTCCTTCTTGGTATCTGAAAAATAAATCTTGCTCCTGTATGTCCCTAGCTATTGTTATATATGTTTATTTAGCATGTTTTATTTGACCATAATGTAATTGCTCTGCTGAGTCCTGCATGGACTTTATTGAGCCCCATGTTTCGTAAGGATGTTTATGCATCTCCAAGTCGCCTGGAAATATTTTCCTCTTTTTTTTTTTGGCATACATGAAAGATGACCCTTTTCTCTGTATATGGGGGTTATTCCTTTTGTTTTCATGTTTCTTAAAATTCTTAAAATCAAGCCCACACCTAAGAGAATGAGTTATCTATCTCATCTCTAGTGTGGATCTGTTTGATGATATTTCTCTGAAATTCATTTAGCAGTTGACATGTGGGACATCTGTAGATGGACTGCCTTCATGTTCTTCTCTTTCAAAAGTCTTTGGGTCTAAACCATAGAAATATTCCTTTGTGGTCTCTGAATATTGCATATGTTTTCCTCTGACTTAGAAATGCTTGTACTGCATTCTAGTTTGCTTTTTCTATAATACCCAAGCTTGGCAATTTTTAAATTGAAGAGTCCAAGTAGCATGACTCAGTAAAGCCTCATGCCCCTTTTGTTTTATAGAGTCTCCCATTAGAATATCAGTATCAACAGAAGGAGCAAATACTTCTTCATGTAAGTATATTTAAATATTTCTGTTGATCAGTTTTTAACCCAAGACAATATCTGCTTCCAATAAGCATATTCACATCTGTTCTCTACCCTTGTTGAGGGATAGGGTATTGGGTTTTGGAGATGCTTGAAAGAGAAATGGCCATTTGCTATGCCTGGGATCAACTAGACACCTCATCCCTACCTTATATGTAAGAATAGTAAATGACACCACTTGTGTGTTAATTTTAGGATAATCTAGTGTCTTTGAATGTTGATTTGTAGAGTTCCTGAGGCCATGTTGTAGGTAGGTTTTTTTGCCTTTTTTTTTTTTTTTCAGCTTTCTCGATGCCTTCAGTAACTGTCTAAGGCTTGATGCCCAGCTATTTGGGGCCTCAATCCCAAGGCTCCTCAATTTTCATATAAAGTCTGCTCTGATAGACTCAGGAAACTATATATAGATGCCCTTAATTCAAGGTTGATAGAAAGTGACTAATTATGAAAATGTTTGAAAGCAAATCCCTAGGCAAGATCTCAGATTGGTTTTCATCTGTTTAATGTGAAATGTGCTTTGTGCTTATGGACTTCTACAACTATTAGATTCATTGGTGCTTTGTGTGATTGCAGGGGAATTTAAGAAATTAGCAAAGACTAGTAAAAATAGTTTCTGATACTTATAAATTGAGAATATCCTAGTATTAAATTTTTATTTTCAACAGGGGAGTTATTAGACCTAGACAATAAAACTTACATCTATAGTCTTTCTCTTCCATACTTTACCTTATTAYTTACAGTATCTCTCAGTTTGATAAGCTCTTTGATAAATACATGTTTTCAGTTATCCTGTTCTAACCCAGATAACGTGTTGAGGGACAATTTTCTTATATAATCATCATGGTAGAAAACTCAATGGAAGGCTGTACTTTTGATAACTTAAAATGTTTTCTCAATATGTTTAAATAGATGAAGTGATTTTAAAGTCTTTCCCTCTGGCTGGTGGAATGAGAACTGTAGTTATATGATGTAAAACTATCTTTTATTGGCTGAGGGTATAGTTCAATGGTAGAGCACATGCTTAGCATGCAAGAGGCCCTGGGTTCCATCCGTAGCAACAAAAGCAAAACAAACAAAAATCTATTATTGCATGAAATTTAATGTTTTAACTACATAAAGCATCATTTAACAGAATTGATGGTGACAATCTAGGAAGATCAAACAGGAAATGAAATGCTGGGAAGAACTAAATTGGCTTCCTCTGTGTTCTGAGGACTCTAATTACATACTCCAAAATGATAATCCCTGCTGGCAAATTTGGAATATTTATTATTTAATTCTACTTATAAAAAGATTAGTATAATTATATGGATTTTATATAACTAACATTAAGGAATCATACTAATAGCTTTGTTTTTTTTTAAGTATTTATCATACAAAGGCAAGTACCAGGTTTTTCTTTTCAGCATTTCATCTGAGAATAATTAATCTCTTGCATGATTCATTGAATRAAGTTATTGAAACACTTGTAATTGGAACCCTTCATGCTATCATTAACGGGCTATGGATGCTGTCTTTAAGCACATTTGAGCAGTTTGGGAATGGAAGAAATCCTTTTTTTAGTTTTCCAGAGCTTTAGGGAACTGAAATGAATCTCTCAGTTTATGTTTCCATTCATTGCAGTMCTGTTGAGAGAGAAATAATTTTGAAATCTGACTCTGTTCTCTAACTCTCAGTAGAGTTAGTTCCTGGTATTTGGTAACGGTTTAGGACTATGAAAGAAGGCTTTGTGCACCATTAGTTAAAATATAACTGCGTGTCATTTTCATACATCTCTGCCTGCTTATAGTAGGTTTCTGGTCAATGTTGTTGAATTGATCAGTAAATATGTTTTTTTTTTCATCTCATGAAAATATGCTCCATACTTTGAAAATGAAAACCTRGATCCAAACTTGCTGGTAATCATCATGTAGCATCAGACACACAGATCATTTCCAGGAAGCCTCATAAGAACTCTACATTGCAGGGAAAGATTGTGAAGAAGAGATATCTCCACTTAGTAAAGGCTGAAGGTGAAATGTGAAGAATCAGGAGTTACAATAAGCTGGAGTCAAACATTGAAAATATATAAAAAGTCAAAGGCCTTGAAGAAGTTCACAAGGGTCAGAAATAATCAGCTCTGAAGAATATAGGTTTCTTTGCACTTTACTTCAGCCAGAAAGGAGATGCTAGCAAATCCCTGCATTTGAAAAATGACCTGTGCTTTACTAATGTAATCAAGCCTGTGTGGGCCACATTCTTTGAACTATTGACACTGGTGTTTTCTAAGTAAATTCTGAAAGCCTTTCTAAGGTAGTAAGGATTCAGCAAACATTTTTTTGTGTTATAACAGTTCTGTGTACTTTTGGGGTCAGTGTGAAGGAGAAGAGGCAGCCCAGTTCCTTTTCAGTTTTGTAGGTATACATGTACACAGAGCTCTAGGGCAAACTTCCTTTCTGCCAGGGCTTTTTTGAGAGCTTCTTGCTGCTGGGTGAATTTTTCTAGTGTTTTGTTTTATTAGTCTGTGAGCCTCCTGCTTAGAACCCTGCCTGGGATGGCATGTCTTTCTCTGCCACCTAGATCCTGTTCGMTCTAAAAGCTTTCCTGACCACCCCAGCCACTGAGTTCTCCTTTCCTCTCTGTCCATCAGGTTGGATTAGCAAACAGAAAGAAAGAAAATTGAAATTACGACTTACTTACCTGAAATAATAATCTATTTTCTTCTCATTGGTGCTTTTCATTCTAGTTTTCTACCCTCTATCTACTTGATATATCAGAAGCTAAATACTAGCTAGAAATATCATATAAATATTATACATATGTGCATATACTTATATATTTTTGCTTTTCAGTACTGAGATTCAACTCAGGTCYCATACATGTTAGGCAAGTGCTCTACCACTGAGGTTCACCCTAGCCCTCTAGAAATGTATTTTTAAAATCACTGTTACAATAAAGAAATTATTCTAAATTGCAGTTTTTAAGGGGTTTATTTTTCATTTGCAAACATATTATTATTTTCCTCCATGTTTATTTTTTTGCCAGCATTTTATAAATATTGGCAAAATACTACATGGTGCATATACACAATTGAATGTTACTCAGCCTTAAAGAAGAATGAAATTGTGGCATTTGCAGGTAAATGGATGGAACTRGAGCATACCATACTAAGTGAAATAAGCCCATCCACCCAAACTAAAGGCCAAATGTTTTCTCTGATAAGCAGATACTGATTCATAGTGGAGGGTTAGGGAAGAATGAAGGAACTTTGGATTGTGCAGAGGAGAGTGAAGGGAGGAGTGGTGCGGTGTGGAAGGGAAGGATGGTAGAATGAGGMACACGTTATTACCCTATATAYAAGTGTGATTACASTACTGGTGTGACTCAGCACCATGTACAGCCAGATGAATGAGAAATTATGCTCCATTGTGTACAATATGTCAAAATGCATTTTATCTTTGAATTTAACTAATTAGAACAACAATAAAAAACACTAACAAAAATATGAAAAAAAAAGAAAAAGAACATTAGACTTAGAAGAGCTGGCTTATAATGAGTGCTTTTTGTATTTACTGACTGCATGATTTGAGCTTATGGTCCAACCACACTGAATTTCTTTTTCATACAAAATGAAGGTGTTGGTTCAGAAATCTCTAAGGTGCTCTAAATTTCTGATCCAATTCCAGGAAAGAACTTGCAAATAAAAAATTTAAAATTAAAAAAAATAAATAAAATTACTAACCTTTTCCTTTGTGTGACAGTTTATGACTTTTTTTTAAATTGGGAAATTGCATTGTACAGTCACTATTTTAGAGTTGTCAATTGTAATTTTTAAAGTTTCTTATAATAATTTCAATAAGCATCATCATTTTCTTGATTTTTTTTGTAAATGAGACATGTATGACTAAACATGTTGTAAGTATATGAGTGTCCTATTATGCATAAGCGACAGGTTTTTGAAAGGAAAAGATCTTGAACTTTATAAAACAGTCAATAGGACTGTCTTGTTCCTCCTTTCATAGAATCAGCAAAACCGTAAATGGATTGTTTAAAACAAACCATAATGGCTTCTATTGGAAGTTCCAGCTCCTTGTGACCCCATTTTGCAGACAACTCTGTTGAATGCCATAAAAAATACAATTGTTACACCAACTACTTTATTTAATTAAGCTCCATCCATTCCAATTTAATATATAAATTAGGGAAACAAAAATAAAAAGTCTACTGAATAGAATAAAGGAAAGGAAATGAAGATAGCTTTCTGGTAAATAGTCTTAAGTTGTAAAACTTCATTTATTTAATTTTTTGGTACTAGGAATTGAATCCAGAGGCATTTTACCACTGAGTCTCATCTGAAGTCCCTTTTATTTTTTGAGATGAGGTCTTACCAAGTTGCTTGGGGTCTAAGTTTCTAAATTGCTAATTAAGTTGCTGAGGCTGCCATAGAACTTTCCATGCTCCTGCYTCAGCCTCCCAAGTTGTTGAGATTACAGGAGTGCACCACTCTGGCTTGTAAGACATATTTTTAATAATAACAGTAGCTGTTGAAGTCTTCTTGTGTGCCAGATAACTGTGCTAGGTGTTTCACATGGATAATGACTTGTGGTTCTCAAAAAACCTTATTCCATTTTACAGATGTGAAACGGATGCATGTTGTCTACAGTCATATACTTAGGATTCAAACCCAGACCATACACTAGCCTGCTCTGATGCATAAGCTTTTGTTGACCCAAAGAAAAGCCTTTACTGTWGKTTTAATCAGCCYTTTCACTGCTGTGACCAAAAGACCTGACAAGAAAAATTAGAGGARAAAATGTTTATTTTRGGGCTCACAGTTTCCGTGTTCTCACTCCATAGACAGTCAACTCCTGGGCCCACAGTGAGGCAAAAGAGTATGGTTAAGTACATGATACTGAGAAGCAGACAAAGAGAAAGCGCTTCCCTCACCAAAGGYTCACCCCCAGTGATCTACCTTCTTYAGCCACATCTTA